TAGCTGGCGGAATTAATTTCATATATTTTATCTACAGATTGGCTCTAAAGCCACAAAAATATTTTAAATTGAAAATTCAAAATTTTAGATCAAAACCCCAAGGTATTTTTTATTACAGTTATTATTTGTTTAGAGATGTTTAAATGTTTAGAGATTGGCAAAGGAACACTAAGTATAATAAAAATAACTGTCATAAACATGGTGACAACATAATAAAACTGGCAGTAGGGTTTGCAGTATAATTTGAATTTGTACTTACCGGGCTGATGTACAAAATGTCTTTGTAACCATTTATTACATTCCAAGAGCTTACTTCAGATTGAATTAGTCCTTTAAGGCATTAGGAGGAACTGTCCTACTCAGACTGAAGTGAGCTACCCTCCCCAGGATGAGAGATTGGTTAGGTTTTAAACCAGAGAAAACATACTGAGAAATAGAAAGATTTTGTTGCTACAGCAGAGATTCAGGGAATACAAAGATAGGAGTAAAATGTCCTCAGATGAGCTGGAGAAAGGAGTTTGGAATAAGAAGGAAATGTTAATTAGTGAATGGAGCACATGTACCTCAGTGGCTTGGAAAGCACAATGTTAGAAAGTGCAAAATAATACAATTTGTAGGAAAATGTGCAGAAATGACTGAACTCTCACAGAATTGTAGTTACTTCTTCACTTAGGAAGACCAAGGCATTGCTGTGACGAGCTCAAACCATGTGTAGATTCCTTGATAGAGTTTCCTATAGTTAGTACCTGAATAACCATTGAAAATGAAAAAAAGAGGTTCAAACAGAGTACACAAGACTCCATGATGGCTGATGTAGGCTTACAAAGGAAGAAATCAAAAGAAGCACTCCATGTGATTCTGTGCCAGAATATTTGAATTCATATTAAAAGCAGGTACAAATGGAGTACAAGTGCAGTCAGAGACTGGAGTAACAGGGAACTCTCCTGTCCTTGAAGGCAGCTAAAAGCTCTGGAAGCAATTCTTACTTAGAGATACCTTTCTTTTCAAAGTCAAGTAACTCTGTGGAGGGGTTTTGAACAGCTGTTGTATGTGGGAATTGCTGACTGCCTGTATTGCCTGTGAATTTTCTTTCATTTATTTGAGGATAGGAGAGCAGTGCTTAGGTCTATATGCAAACTCATTTACTCAAATAGTGCTTGTGCTTATACAGTTGCAGTCTCATGGATAGGCAAATTCTTCCCAGGCTTTTGCAGTGCCATCATTAGGTTTCTGCTGCTTGGTAGCACAGAAGAGTTCATCCAAATCCATGTATAACAAACAGTGCCTTCTTTTCAGAGCTGCAGTTTTTTTTTCCCAGCTGCATAATTGTCAGTACAGACCAAAGAGCTAGGAAAACTTCTGCTGCAGCATTTTGAGATCTGCTGCAATTGTGTTTCGCTAGGCTCTTGTAACTTCTGCTTACAGTATGGAATGAAGTGAGGACAAGGTTTATCCAATTTATCTGATTTCAGATTTATCACTGCAGATTCTTAAAAAAGCATACTTTTCTACATGGAAATGCATGTTTTGTGCTGCTACTCTTGTTAGGAATAGTGACCTGTGAAATGATGGTATCATTCAGTAGAATTGGAAATGCAGAAGAAAAAGGTGCTTTATTGTTGTTGAGTAACTGTCTGGCAAATATCTCTGTTCACTCCATGCACCTCATCCATTATTTGTCTGTTATAACTAAAATATAATTTTAAGGCTTTTTAAGCAAAGTATTTCCATAAAATAATATGAAGAGAAGAAATAGTTATAAATGGGGAAGCTACTGTCTGTCTGTGGCAAATACCTCATGAAGACTGATCTACCCAGTTCACAGTACAGGCTGAACATGCAAGAAGATGGCTGGCAGGGTGCAATGAGCAATGGCTGGCAGCAGGGGAGGCACGAATTGCAGGGAATGGCAACGAGGTTCAGCTGCTGAAGCAGGCTGACAGTTGTGCTGGAAAGTCAATCCACAGGTCATAACCCGACCTACTGAGGGTCAGAGTCCTGTGGTCACCTGTAGGCAGGTGCAGGGAGATGGGACCAGGCAGAAATCAGGCCAGGAAGTCAGGTCCAAGGGGATGCAGGAAGCGCTGGAACACCCAGGTGGAGCAGGATTAAAGGCCCTGGACTCATGAGCAGGAGTGAGAGGGTTGAGGCTCCCAGGTGAGGCTGGTAAGGGCCACTAAGACTTATTGTATTCAGGGTTGTTATTGTCCATTGGCAGTCTTGCATTGAAACAGACTAAAATTATTACAGAGGCTCTGCCTTACTGAACTTTTGTTCAAATTCTTCATTACTAATGCAGTAATCACAGCAATGAACAGTCATGTAAATTTTCTTGTATTTTTAATCTGTCTCTACAACTGATCAGAAACAGGAGCCAGACAATATTAGTGCTCCCATTGCCACAGGGACGTATGAGCTATTCCTTAACTGCAACAGCACTTGCTGTTTTTAACAAAAAGATCAAGCATTCAAGCTGTATTTCTAGGGTATTTTAAACTAGTATTTCTTCTAGATCCAATAGTCATAACAATAATGAGAGCAATGTCCTGGAGAATCATAATTACATGAATTTTGCCACTTAATGGACCTAAACACGAGTAGCAAGCTTTGTGAAAAACCACAGTGCCTTGTCTACATCAGTACTAGTTAGCCATAGGAGACACAATAACTTCCAGTGTAGACCGAAGGGGTCAGCAAGTAAGATCAAGCAATAGCACTAGCATACCATGTAAAAAATAGCTTTCAGTAGTACTGAAACTAGTCTGTTCAGTGGAATCGATCAGAAAACATCATCAGAAAACAAGCCAGTATCCACAAAGAGATTAAATTAGGAACAGAAGCTGTTAGCATGTATCTGATGGCAGCATGTACTTTTCTGTTATTTGAAATTGGCGCTCATGTTTACTTTTTCAGGATCAATTTTTTTTTTTCTTTAGGCTGCAAGGTTAAATGGTAAAATTCTGTTCTTTTCCTAATTCTTGCTACTTTCATGTCTTGTATATGAGCTTATCCCTAAACTTTGATGCTTTTCTGATCTTGTTGTGTCTTTTAACTAAGCTTGGACTTGCACAAAAGTTACAAACAGAAGTTTAAGAGCTCAGAGGTGGAATACAATAAAGAACATTTTCCAGCACCAGGGGTGAAGAAGTACTGTATTCTGAGTGGGCCCTTGAAAAGAAAAGAGAAGTGAATATATAAATTCTGACATGACTGTGTGTTTTTTGACTACTAACCTTGTGCTTTTCTTTTGAGGCAGATGACTCATCATGCTGTATCACCTAAAAGCAAGGCTGGTCTAGCATCTGCCAAAGGCCGTTTTGGTAGTGCTTGCCACCTAGTGGATTACTGCTTGTATACACATATGAGCAGGATCATCTGCCACAAAAATACACTATCACACTCATATTTGATTACATCCTGCAGAATTTGAATACTACTTAATGGATTTTTTATTTTGTTGAAAGGAAAAGCTTGTGAAAATTGAACTACAAATTGGAAACCTTTTCAAAACTTTTATCTGACAGCTGTATTTGCAACTATGACATGACTTGGTGACCAGCAAAATATGGAATTTGAGAGCCAGTAGTAAGTGTGAGTAGTCAGTGTAAGTGGCCATGGACTCAGCTGTAAACTCAAGCCCCATGCTAACATTTGTTGGCTGAGGCTCTGATGAGTACATTTGGTGAACATAGCTGAGCTTGTTGAAATTTATACCCATTGTTTCTGCTCCTTCTGTAAGAGTTTGCTGGGGCCCTGTCATTTTTTTAGGTTTCTGGTTTGTATATAGTAGTAACTCAACATTACCTCTTCTCTTTTAGCTGAATTGCCTGGAATAGTTGTCATCCATTTTGTTGACCTGGACTTGAATTTCTCCCTGACTCATAGTTTACCCCTCATTACTGCCCACTAGTCTTACAGAGATCACACGTGTTGCTCATACCATAACACAATGCAAATATCTGTATTGTAAGTTACAAGGGTTCAATTAACTACTTAAAAAAACCGGTTTTTCCACACAAATGACTCCTGTAAAAATCTGAGTCCCCTCTTTCAATTTTAAATTGAGTTTTTGCTAAATTTTTTTACTGAATTTTTTATTAATCACCATATTTTAAAAACATGGACTGTTTTACCAGAGTTTTCCCCAACACATCCAGCCTACAGGCAACAGTTAAGGGAAGTTCTCAGCAACAGGGAATTGTCAGGTTTGAATACAACAGGTTTTCTACAATGTTGATGTTTGTAATAGTATTTTTTATTATTTCATGATTATGAAAATGTTGGAAAATTTTAGCCAACAGCTTATGGTATTCACAAATAATTTATGCTCTACATTTTCAGGATAATTTCCAGTTAAACTTATTAAACTCAGAATACCTTAATTCTTAGTTGTTACCAATACATTGATACAGATTATTTTACTTTTATAGCATTTTATGATCATTAACCTATTTATGACTAACTTGATATGCAGATGTTGAATTGGGTAAGATTCCATGGGGTCTGTGCTTAGTCTGGCTGTTACTTATCTGAGGATTTTTCAATCTTACAGTGCATTCTGTTACCATTATGTATCAGAATTCTTGATTTTCCCACATTTGCGATTGCATTCTCACAACAAGATAGTTTTGGTTTGTTTTCTACCTCCCTCTAACTGCTGTGAGGAACTTCTGTTATGATCAGAAGGTGAAATATGAATTGTTTATACAGTGAATTTTTTCACTTTCCATTAAATACTATGTTCCTAAGACTACAGAGTACATAAATTTCATCATAAAGATTATCATAAATAGTTGAAATTAAGACATATGTAAGAAAGTTTGTACAAATGGCCTCCTGTTTTTAAAAAGTAATTTACAAACAATTTGATCTGTATCCAAATTTAGGAAGTTATATGACCATAATAAAAATCTGTACTCAGTACTCAATACAGTAGCATAATAAAAATGTGTACTCTGTACTCAGTATAGTACCACAATAAAAATCTGTACTCAATAATATCACAAGCTCAAAAAATCACTTTTATTAATACATTTTAAAAAAGAATAATGAAAAGAGACATTATAATTAAATATTTGCTCTCATCTACAAATAAGCACTTTGGATAATAAAATAAATTTTTAGGTTCTTGTGAACAGTTAAAAACAGAGGAAGGAATTTTCTGAAATAAAAGCAAAAGAAAGAGACTTTTCAAATAGAAAATATTTGGCAATATCTCTTAGTCACTCAATAAAATATCCATGTAAACAAGTAATCCATATTTACATTATCATATGCAATATTCTTGGTTACATGTAGTAAGAAACACACATGTAATTACATTCAATTTTAGAATCTAATTTGCACCATCATTTCTCAGTTCCTTAATGTTGGAAAAAACACTCTTCTGCTCTGTGCATAATACTGCATGACAGCATGTAAATATACTATTTTTTTTTCCCAGGCATCTTAAGATAGCACTTTCTTGTTAGGTTTTGTAACTTCCTGGTTTTTATAGGAATCCAAACCTGGAATGTAAGCTCTACAGTCATGTTCCTGTAAAAACAATCATGTATATGATTTCCAAACATGCATAAAAATACCCATGAAAAAGCTAGAGTTCTACCTTCCATTTGTATCTCTGAAAATACACTTTTTTCATTTCTTATGTTGCTACTGTATTTATGTTACTCATAAATACAGGTAAGAAAATTTGCATAAAAGGAAAGTTAATGGAAAGCCACTTTGAGGAGCATGTTTAGGACTTTTACTCTACAAACACCTATGCATTTTTATTTAGCATTGAACTAACCTCATTTTTTTTTTGCAAGGATACATAGAGGCCTTTTTAATCAATTTAGACTTAAGCCAAAAGTCTATAGTATGTTTTATCAGTTATAAATTGCACACACCAAGGTTGATCAAGGTTTAGGAGCTCACAGCTACTGCATCTCATGGGGACCTTCCAAAGATCAGAAGCCAGAATCCCAGAGTTCGTGCACGTGAGATATCACTGATTAACAATTCCCCAGATGGAATCTTCCAGCTTCCGCTGAGTTTCTACTATCACGTTTAACCTCTCAGTTGAAAACCAAAATTATGTTTTGGGAGGCTCCTCTCAAAAGGTTGCTAATCCTTGATTTTCAGTCAGTTTTATGTCACGGAATCACAGCATAGTCAGAATTGGAAGGGACCCAGAAGGATGATCGGGTCCAGCCCTTAAGCAAATGGCCCACATGGGGTTCGAACCCACAACCTTGGTGTTACTCGTACTCGTTTGCACTTCTTGAGAATAGAGAATAAATGCCACCATCCTTTCTTCAAGTAGCATTCCCCTTGAACAGTACATGGCAATCAATGGAAACCAGAAGGAATGCTGCTTATTTAACAGCATATAGAGCCAACCACCTAAAAGCTGTTCATTTCAATACATTCAACTCAGTGCTGTAACAAAAGAAGTCATAGATTCTGTGTTTGTTTCCAGTACGCTGTTCAGTTACTTTCTTCCAGAACAATCCCTAGGCAATTGACTACCTTCCATACAAGCATATGCTTTTATTATGTGACCTATGCAAGGATTGAGTGAGCTTATTTTCACAGGTGGATGAGACACAGTAACAGGCCAATACATAACAATTTAAAATGCTGTTGCCTGTGTGAGTGCAGTATAGAAAGCTGCATAGTAAATTACAGCAAGTAAGCTCATTTATTCACTTCCTCTGTCATGCTTCACTGTTTGATTCATTGCACATAGTGGGACTGGAGAAGTGCTCACACATTAGTTTAGCAGTTTAGGTTAGTGTTCCTTCTGTCATACCTGAATTGTACATTAAAAGCAGGCATTTTCTGCAGTGGAAAAATACATTAATGTGAGGTTGGTCCCAGTCACCCACAAACCTATAAGTGAAACTATAGAACTCTGGGATGTAGTTCTTGAGTACCAAGTGGTACAGCAATAAAGTTTTTAAAATATTTTATTATGCTAGCTTTCTGTACTGCATTCGCCAAATAGTAAAATATTATTAAAAATCAAATAACAGGAACTGAGGTACTTTTTGTCAGAGAAGACCCAAAATAACTCATGTCCAAAATAGTTTGTACAAACACACAGTGAACTACAAAAATGGCGCATTTGTTGAAGGGTAATATATTAAAGTGTTTTTAAAAGCTGGAGTAGATAAAAATTTATGTAGTATTTAAAAGTAGGAAATTATTTGCTGTCTGAAACTATCTATATTCCAACATGAACAGTGGTTAATTTGTATTTGTAGTGGGCTCTGCAGCTTTTACAAGAGATAATAGAATGGCTCATCATTTTGGACATATGCAGTCCAAATAATCTACTATAATTATTCTTCCATAGTAGTAGAAGTATAAATATTGTCTGTATCTGTGAAATTAATGAATGAGCATAATACATTAATATTTCAGTTACTAGAAAGAGCTATAAAAGTAAAGTGCCAGTAGGAACTCTTCATTATTTAGAGAAAATTGCATTATTTGAAACAATAATTTCAAATTAAAAAGTCATAGAGTTTGTATAGATTGCTTACATACTAAAGCATGTCTTGGTGCCTATGATAATAATGCTTTTGACGTCAGTGTGGAGATACTCAAATTGGCTTTCAGTTAACAGGTAGCATTTTAATAAAAGAGCAAAGCTCACCTGTGTGCTGGAGAAAGTATTTCTCACTTGAAGCTAATTTTTTTTTCTGTGAGACTGATAGCAGATTTTTTCTGGTTTCTAACCACCTAGATTCTAGTCTAGTACCATAAATCAGCAGAACTGTGCAATCAAATAAAGAACTAAAATGCTGCCTTCTGGGATAAAAGGAAGACTTAGTTTAAGTGATACATTTTTCTAAGTGTGTTTCTATAGCTTTTCAAATAAGACAAATTCTGCATTTGGATGTCTTAACATTTCTTAGATTACACTAATAATTGCACATAATTCAAAGCCAAAAATAGTCTGTATACAATGTATTTGGTAGAATTTGTTGAAAGGCCAACAGATACATTCTGTTTTTTAAAAAAACAAGACCAAAAACTCCCAGAAGTTTCTAAAGGTAATATAACCTTTTATGAAGATATCTAGCAAACTTTTCTCTTTTTTTTAGTTAAAAATTGTAGAATAAACATTTTTATGAAGCAGCTCTGTAAAGTGCAGAATTACCTCAAATCCCGTCGAACATAGCAGCCAGTGCGAGGCTTAATCAGCTAGAGCAATCAAAGCTTCAACAAAGTGAACATTACCAGGAAATTTAGGTGTGACAAACTAAATCATTCTGTATGGTATACTTCATGGCTGATTCATAACCTGCAAAAGCACTCAAGAGAAAAATTTAGCCTGAATCTTGTTAAATTTTTCATGACTATAAGAGAGATAAGCATTAAATTAAGAAGTTATATGTAAGACAGTTTCCAATGATGTGATTTTCCCATTATATGATGCTCTTGATTTTTTAAACAAGGCAAAGACTAGTCATGGACCAATAAAATATGTCTGGGACTTCCAGGAGTTTAAATCCATATGCAGAAAACTTGAGTATGTTTCAGCAAGCCATACTAAAAATGAACCCCCAACCTACTTACATATCAATATAACTACATTAGAAGGACCCTCACCTGGGAGAAATTGGAAGTATAATAGTACTTTTTATTCTGTATATTTTCTTTACATAGTTGATCTTTGTCCTGCTTCATCAAATTTGATGTTTTGTTTTTTGGCTTCTTCAGTATTGCTCCTCAGATCAGCTTTATCTGCATTACTGCTGTTTGTCATCGTGGATTCTACTTCTGTGCCTTCAGGAGTTGCTCCAATGGGCCTCATAATTTTAGCATTCTCTTCTGGGGGCCGCTTCCAGTAGGGCCTGCTTGCCATCCACAAAATAAGTGAACCAAATATGACAAGCAAAAGACCAAGACAGTTGACCAAAGTTGCTTCTGGTGGGGATTCACTGTATGCAGGACTTCTCCTTAGAAAGGGGAAAAAGAAAGAAGAGGTCAGAAAAGATTGTTTTAAAGACAATCCTGGTCTAAAACCAGCAGTCTCCTGCTAGGTAGGTCTTTTTAATACAAACAAAACAAAACAGTGTCCCAGTACTGGATGCTTATTATTCTGGGCAAATGGAAGTATATTTGCAATGTATAACCTTAATAAAGAAGTGGAAACAAATACTTACAATGCAAATATAAGCTTTTCTGTGATTCCCATGAGAGCTGTTGCAATCACTGTTGCAAAGATGGTCAGACCCGAATAAACGTGTATTGGCATGACAGCTGCGCGGAGATGAGCTGGAGCAAACGGGAGCAGAAACACAGCGACACCACAGAACAGCTACAACCAAAACAGATTCATAGTTAGGGCTAGATGGAAAACATGCTACACTTCTCAAGCAGAACAAAAATAATCATAAAATTCCATTCTGAGATGTCTTCAGGTAAAAATTTGAAAGTAATTGGCATTTCTATTTTTGAATGTGTTTCCTGTCAAAACCAAAGCAAAATTCTATATTAGCACTTGGAAAGCAGACATTAAATATTTTATAAATCATCCTACATAATATCAGTGTCCAAACTTACTCATAGTGCTAAAACTCCAACCCAAACTAAGTACTGGAAACACAAGTTTTCAGTGTCACTAATTCACTAATATAGTAATAGTGTGAGGAGCCACATTTTTACAGTCTTATCAAGTCCTGTTCTCTGCTCCTGTTGCAGATTTGCACATAAAGGAGCATCAGAAAGCAGCCTAACTTTCTGACTTGAGTAGATTAAATAGTTTTATCTTGTTAGAATTTAAGTTAATTTAAGTGCCTATCTTTAGAAGGAGAATGGTCTTTCAATATATTGATCACATGGCATTTACAGAGTGAAGACATGTATGGGTGGCATCAAGTTATTCAGGGGACATTAGTCCTCCTATTAGCACTAATTCTGTGATGGAAAATAACCCATCATGTCCCATGGTTGCATCCACAGGTTTGCCCAGTCATGCTGAGGTTGCAGCCTCTCTTTATTTGTTTTACCATTATTCACCCCTGCTGCTAAATTAGACAGAGTACATGAATTTGTATTTCATCTGCTTTAACTCAGTCCTTGTTTTATCTTTCCATAATGGATTAGAGAGCCTGATATTTTCTCCCTGGGAAGCTTTTTAGTACACCATAATCAAATCATCTCTTAATCTTAGATCTGCTTAACAGCTGGAGTTTTTAAAGTCTTGCAATGGAAAATAGCTTTTCCAGCCCTCAAATTACTTTTCCAGAATTTCTTTGGGTTTGTTGCTTTTTATTTTTCTGATCATTCTTTTATATTAAAAAATCCATAATATTTCATATTAGTTTCACTAATGCCATCTTTTTTCCTGTTGTCACAGCATTGTGAGAACTCATTTAGAGCTTCATGTCATTTTTGAGTTCTTCTTTCCAGAGACATCATTTTCCAAGAGACAGTCTCATTTTATGCTTTTGCCCTATTCTTAAATTTATGTTATGTAGTGTGCTATATACTGTATTAACCTGCATTTGGCCTAATTGCAACATAGTTACAATATTGCAGGCAGAGTATTATGTGAGCATAGGACTGATGTGCCCCTTCTGGTAAATGCCAAGGGTCTTCTCTGTTAACAAAGATACTGCTTTGTGACTATTCTTTATAGTGCTCAGTCACTTAACAAACATCAGTCTCTGACTGGAGACTTACATCCCAGATTGGAAGAAGGAACACTAAGGATCTTTTGATTTGACAGGCAAGGCATTAAGTGCCATTGATCACGTTTATAGTAGCAAAATGAAAAGTAGAACTAGGATTTTAGTCACAATTCTTCATTTAACCATTAGAAAAAATACTGATACTCAGTGTAGTGACAGCACAGATTTCCTTGAAATACCTGCATTGTTAGGACAAGCTTAATTTTAACATTGTTTTTTCTTATTCATTAATATTAATACTTATTACTTTGTTCAGCTGTAGAGAATATACTCAACAATGCTGCAATATGCTTTCTTTTTTTCTAAATGTTAAAAACACTATTTCAACACTGTTTCCTGTACCTCTTGGCCTGAGCAGTGAAGAATAAAGTCCAGAACCCAAATCCCTTAGCTGAGGTTTTCTGTGCTTGATCATAGATAATTAAGACTTTTTTTCTTTTTAGTCTTTCGGGAAAAAAATATTTGAAGGAACAAAATAAATCTCCATAGTGTAAGAACACAGTATAGGGAGTTCAGCATGTATATGCAGAAGCATCTGTATGTGTTCTGTAAATTTCAGGGCATGGTTGCTCTTCTTTGCCAAATGCAAAACACATGAAGTTAGCTCATTTTACATTACAATAATGCTAATTCTCTGCCAAGAGGAGCAGTTAAAAGCACGCCCACAAACATCTATCAAAGTTCTGCTGATTCAGGAAAACTGGTTAGCCACTAGTAGCTCATTCAGGTGTCAGATCCTTTACATCTCTACTGATGCAATTGTTCTGCTGATTAACAAAAGTCTTGAGGCCAAGAAGTGACTACTTAAATAAGACATAACTGGAAAAAAAAAAAAAAAGAAAAGCTGTTACTTCATTTGAGACTTCCTTAATAAATGTTCTAACTATATTTAAATATGCTGCCAACAAACCAAGTAACTTGCTGTAAATTCAGGAGTTAATGTGGCTTAGAAACACACTACTGTGTAAGTGTATTGTAGGCTAATGGCCATTATACCAGCAAATAAACAAAACAGGCTTAAAAATGCATTTTTCTTCAAAGTTAATGATCCAGTATTTGTATATTTACATGATAATTTGCCAAATCAGAGTGTAAAATAGCTATCCCAGTAGTTAAAATGTACTAGCAAGAGCCTATTGTGCCTGAATTAACTAAAAACATTCTTCAAATTTATAAGCTGTTTATAAATACAGTTAGATTCTGACCTGGAGAGAATAAAATATAACAGCAGTCAGCCCAATCCAGCTGTGCAGACTGTACATGTTAGGAATGTTCTGGGCATTGTGGTATTCAAACGCGGCTACCATAGAAACAATTGCAAGAATCATAGCTGTGGTATTTAATCCAGCATGTATGAACTTCATTAGGAGTTTGCTGCACTTCCAGGTCCAGGGCAATCTGTACACAATAATAGCTGAAGAAAGAAGGGAAACAAGATTTTAGGCCTTATAGAATAATTTCTTTCAAATGTTAATAATTACGCATAATTCACAGAGTTACATTGTAAATTACAGCAAAATCCAACCTGAAGTATTCTAAATAGTCTATTAAAAGGCTTTTTTTCATACACTTAGCATAGCATACTCTGAACTGAAGCTTAAATATGGCTTTTTAGGGAATTATTCTCAATTATAAAAAATCCCACAAACTTAAATGTGTTTCAAAAAATACCCCAGTAAACAACTTGGTATCATCTTTTCCTCAGTCATTAAATTGATTTAACAGGGATTTGGCATAGGATTTTGATTTTTCTGCTGCTAGTCAGATTGGAGCATTATAGCCTGATTCTTGTTGAGAAAGCATGTAGGATTATTTTATAATATTTATTCTCTTTGCAACTTTGGCTAATGCTATTCTCTAATTGCATAGATACTTATATAACTGTCTATTACACTGATATCAGTAAGACTACTTTGAATGGGGAAATGCTCTTCAGCATTAGGGAATCATAATCTGACTTTAGAGACAAAAACATTTAACAAATACAAGTCTTCCACTACTGTTAGATGAATGTAGGGAAGTTTTGCCTATACTTGAATTAATAACTCTAGCAGACAGTGTTTTTTCCAGTCTGAACAAAACAATAATTTCCATTGCTCTAACTCCAGATGATCCATAAAAATAACTTAACCTAGAGCTGCTTCTTGCCGAGTTTTCTCCAAGATCCCTGCTGCCCCTATCTGTCACAACTGTCCCCTGTCTGTCATACAACCCAAATGCTTTCCACAGGGGACACAAATGGACCAGATTTTATCACTGAAGTTCAAGGTACATCTGATTACAAACTAGATAGTAATTCTGGATGTGTGACAGCACATAAATATATTCACCTAACAGGGGACAAATATTTATAAGGACAACTGATAATTTGAGCAATAAAGACTGATGCCCCCATCTATAATGTCTTGCCTGAGCAAAGTCTGAACTCCACTCAGTGATTCATCACATCCTAATTTAAGGCTTCTGCTTATGAAATTATAGTGAAAATTTTGTATATAATTATCTATAATAAAACAAAGGAATAATAATTTATGTAGGTTCTTTTAAAAAAATCCTGTTCCAAACATTAAGAAATAAGAAAGTATTACCTAAGTGATTCTTATGTGCCCTAGTCATTCATTACTTCTCCACAACCCCTGCATTTTAGGCAAAAAGTATAGATTATGGAAAATAAATAGAATATTATCTCTGCATGTTCCGATGAATAGTAGTAATAAATGACAAATTCTTTTCAAGTTCTGTTCACACTTTTTTTTAAACTTGAATGCATTTCAATAAATACAGTACTACAGTAAATAATTCACAAAGAAAACCATTTACAAGTCAAATCTCCATACTATGATCAGATTTTAAATCAATGTATGCATTTACATACTGTGTAAAAATATAATACTGGAATGAAATTGTTCCTTAGAATATTTAAATATATACAGCACTTAGGTTGGTTTTGGCTTCTACTTTAAAAAGCAACAGTAGTAAATCCTACAAAATCAGGAAGATAGAAACCTTGTTTATAAGATGATTTGACTGTCTTAAAGCAATCTATTACAGAAATCTGATTCTGCACACCAAGCTTATCACCTCCAACAGTTCCCAAAGTGACTTTACATTATAATGTTAGACTCATAGAATCCTAGAATCACTGAGGTTAGAAAATACCTCTCAGATAATTGAGTTTGACCATTAACCTGTCACTGCCACATCTACAATAAACCATGTCCTGAGCACCACATGTGTGTTTTTTGAGCACTTCTATGGACAAAGATTCCATCACTTTTCTGGGCAGCCATTTCAATACCTGACCACCATTTCAGTGAAGACATTTTTGTGAGTATCCAATCTTAACCTCCCCTGGTGCAACTGGAGGCCATTTCCTCTTGTTCTCTCACTTGTTACTTGGGAAATTAGATCTTTCCCCACTTGCTACAGCCTCCTTTCAGACAGTTGTACAGAACAATAAGGGACCCCTGAGCCTCCTTTTCTCCAGGCTGAACACCCCCAGCTCCCTCAGCTGCTTCTCTCCAGACTTGCGCTCCAGACCCTTCACCAGCTTCACTGCCCTTCTCTGGACCTGTTCCAGCACCCCAGTGTCTTGTACTAAGGGGCCAAAAACTGGACACAAGATTTGAGGTGCGGCCTCACCAGTATCGAGTGCAGGGGGAACAGTCACTGCCCTGGGCAATAGAGCCCACACTATTTCTGATACAGGCCAGGACTCTGTTGGCCTTCTTGGCCACCTGGGCACACACTGGCTCATGTTCAGCCAGCTGGCAATAATATCCAATAATATTAGACTACTATTAATCAACTTAATACTAATGAAAATTACTTCTAATTTTGTGAAGCAGATGTGTCAAAAGGCCCCAAAACAAGTTTCAACATCCCGTGAGGATATTCCAAATAAATCCTTCTTACCATATGTCCCACGGTATTGTCAATAATTTATTCAAGGTGCAGCAGAGTACTGGACTCTGTATGAATAAAACTTCAAGACCATAGGTCCTGGTCTCAGTTTTTAGTCTTTGATCTCAGAGGGTCAAGTCGGGAGTAAAATTTTTATATAATATTTTTTGGTCGTCATCTAGCTGATTTAACTTTCAGAAGCACTATCAAACTCCCTAGTCACTTGTCCACATAGTCTCAGATCTCTGGGCCTTGAATTTTCTAAGTTGTTTCCCATAAACATTACAATAGGAAACCAAGGAATAACCAACTAATGCTTTGGCCAGTTGTTAACAATACCATTCATTACCATGTTACATGCCACAGCCCAGTCTGGGGAACAAAGGGGAAAGAAGGAAGATTCACCTTTCAGTGAGAACAAGCTCTTAAAAATTTACTCAGATGTGATGTGTAATTTCATGTCAAAATTAAAACAGCTTAGGTTAAAAGCACATACACAATTAGAGTGTTTGGTGATGACATGGTAAAGCAGCCTCATGGAGAGCTTTCTCAAGGCAGAACATTTCTAGTACTGTTAAGAAATTTGACAGTGTAGACACCCTGGCCTGAGCTTTTGGACTCAGACCTTACTCCTGTTTTGAGCTATGATTTTGAAACCCATTACACAGGGCAGAGTTATCTTGCAATATTTTTATATGGCATGGGACATCCTTTTACAAATGTACAGAGCAAAATTCTGGAGTTATTGACCAACATCAGCCTTTGTATAGACTATTAAACTCAAGAAACAGTTGGTATATTATTTAAAATCCTCTACTCATATTTAACCAAGGTTTTTTTAGCTACACCTTCCTACTTTCAAATACTTAAAGACTTATCTTTCTTGTATGTGTCCAAAGAGGTATCTGATTTCTCACTCTCATCCAAATTGCTTTGAATTCAGTGGCAGACTTCCATCAGCCAAATTTGAATCAGATTCACAGTGGCATCTTATCTGTTGATATTGCATCTGATTTACTACAACACCCCTTCAGTCTCCAGCTTTGCTTTTCCTATTATGTAATAGTACTTCCTAAATTATACTGTATTATTAGTGAATTCCTTGTATGCATGTGGTTTCTTAGCTGTGGTAAACTTCTATTGACTTTACATATGTCCTTACCTAAACAGAGCTTGGGGCAACGCCCTTTCTCCGTGACACAGGGAAAAAACTGAGTTTCAGAGGAAAAAACCCAGAAAATACATAGGAATAAGCTGCAGAAAACTTCTCCCTATTTTCTTCAAAAGTTCTATGCTTATGTATAAAAAAAATAGGTTGAGCACATTAAGTATTATAGATCTTAGTAGTGAAGTGAACAGGTGGTTTTTATTGCTTATTTATAGCCTGAAATGACACTTCCTGTTGAGCAATATTATGTAAAACAACTTCAAAGTATGGTTTATTGCTCAACACTGGTTTGCAGCTTGAAGCCAAAAAGAAGCTGAGAACAGCCCCACTCCCACTGAAAAACAAAAATTTACAGTGTATGTTTAAATCTCAATGTTCTCTTCATAGCCAGAACAAGACAACCTTCAGCATCTTCCAGCCTTTTGACTGGCTGGAAGTGTAACGGGAAAATGTTAGTCCATGACTGAACTCTACGAAATCCAAAGTTCCTACACTCTTAAAAAAAAAAAAATAGAGAAGCAACCCTGTATCTTAATGATTATATGTTATTTAAGCAACAGAACAAATGATTCATTTAAGAGATATACTTTACACAACAATTCATCCTAATTCTAGCCTGAAGAACTGCATTTTGCTTGTGCTTGTGGTGCTGCGTTTTCTGTGGCCAAAACCCTGCTCCTGGATCAAGTTCTGTGATACTGAACTTTCCTTTCTCTTCTTGGGACATGGAAGAGAGCCCAAAGAGAAACTTTCCTAGGGCAACATTTCTGGCATTTTGATTTTCTACTTGCATAAATTCCAGCTGCCTAGGAAAAACACACCTCGCAGGCGTTACTCAAAATGCACGGCAATCCCCGGGCCAGGATAAACAAGTGCTTGCAGAAAAAAAACCCCAAAACAACTCAAACCCCGTATGTAGCAATTTTGGCTTATTACAAGGCACTCTTTGTCCCTTCCCGGGAATGCTGGCTTCCCCAAGCTGCGGACCGATTGCTGCGCTCCCGCTGTGACCCGCTGCCGGCCGCGGGCCGCCCCGCCGGCTCCGCCCGGAGCCTCCCGCGCCGCGCAGCCCCGGCCGCGCCGCCCCGGCCCCAGGCAGGCCCGGCTCCCCCGCAGCTCCGCGCCGGCCCGGGCCCCCGACGCACCGATGCCTTGGATGAAGACGAAGCCCGTGACGAGGAGGACGGGGTGCCAGTTGAATTCCGCCGAGCTGCCGTCCCAGCTCAGCCCCTCGCGGTAGTGGAAGACCCAGACGAGGGAGAGGATGACCGACACGAAGCCGACCAGCAGCGCAGAAGCCAGCAGTGCCAAGAATCGCCCGTAGCCCTCCATCTTTCGAGCCCGCGCAGCGAGTGCAGCGGAGGAGAGGCGAGCCGGCGGCCGGGCGGGGTCCGACTCGTGCGCGGGCTCGGGTCCGGCGGGCACGGGACCGGACGGGACGGACCCAGCAGGGGCGGGAGCAGGGCGGCACTCCGCGATCCTCCGCGCCCCTACACCCTGCCCTCTCCGAGCGTCCCGGCGCGTTCAGAACTCCGCCTTAGAAAATAATTTTGTGTGTCAGCCTGTCCCCTGCCGTGGTGGCAGCCCGACTGTGCTCCCCAGGGCAGCCAAGGAAGGGAGCGGGTGGTCACGGGTTTTGTGCCGAGAGGCTGTTGTGGAGGTTGGGGAGTTGACAGACCCACCAGAAAGATAAGCTACCACAGTCATAAGCGCTTACCGATAAAGTAGGAGTGCTGTTATGAAGAAGATACCGACAGCACACACAGAAAATGCAGAGGAGGAGAAGCGCACTTAAAGACACTGATGTACTTACCTGGAGCACAGCCTTGCCATCATGACACCCCCTTCTCACTGGATTCATTGAGTGCTCCAAATATAGCGCAGATACTAAAGAGCACAGCCTTGCCATCATGACACCCCCTTCTCACTGGATTCATTGAGTGCTCCAAATGTAGTACAGATACTAAGCAGTTTCATATGTGGAGTCTGGCCTAAGTATGCAGGAGAATGTGGACGTTGTTCTGTTGAATAGCACAAATACATCAAATATCCACTAGCAAAGAAAGGGAATGCATAAAACTTAGACAATACCAATAGGTATGGAAAGGCCCATTGTAGGGAAGTTAAGAGAGGAAAACAGAAGGTGAAAACCCCAGAATTGCAAAAGAGACAATAGACCTGACAAAAATATAACATGATAGATTAGACCAGTTTGGTCAAACCATGTAGTCAGCAGTTACCTTTTGTTTTGGTGTAGAACATTCACCTGGCTCTGAAGCCTGTCAACTGTGGTAGGAGGATATGCCTAAACATATATTCAGCACTAATTTTCTGGTATTTGATTAGCTTACTTTTAAAGTATATATAGTGTTGAACTACATATGAATTAGAAGTTCATTAATTGATTGAGAAGAAAAAAATACTATGTACTCTGGCTAGCATTTGATCTCTCTGGTATCTCACACTTAAACTGAGGCCTAGAAGATGAAAAGAAACGGTTTTATGAAACTTAAAATAGTTTCAGTAGAATACTGCCAACTCAAACACCATACTTACTAAAGTGTTGGAAATATCTACATAGAGACATGAAGACCAAGCCAGATTGGAGTGGGATGCAAATATATTTCTTCATTGTTGTCTTTAATCTCCTAAAAATACACACTGACGTTTTAAAGAAAAGCTTGACTTGAGCAGCACTTGTATAAAGATATTTAGCTTTAGTTTGCATGGATTTGGTGTGACCTGCCCTCAGGATTTAACTGGTTACTCATTCTACTCACAATGGAAAGTAGAACACTTGTATTGTTAAATTTCACAAGTCACAGCATCTAAGAGCAGATCCAAGCCCTAAATCTTCTGATGAATGCACTCATGCATAATCTCTCCAGGGTGCCAGATTGTCATTAGCTTATGAGGCACACAGGTCATCTTAATATTATGGTCAGAAAAATTCTTGCCTGTCTGGTGTAAATATCAGATTGGTGCAGAATCAGAAGTAATCCATAGCACAGCTACAATGTCTGAGTGCATTTCATGTTTACTTTGGGATGGGAACTCAACACGATACAGTTGACTGCTGAGGGCTGAATGATGCACTTGATAATCTGTTTGGAAAATAACCCCCTACAAAAAAATGAAACTACCCTGTATGGGGCTTTCCTTGCAAGGATGCAATAAATACCTGGTTTTGTTAATCATTACTGTGGATAGATTCTACAGCAGTTCATAATCTCTTACTCTTTTCCAGAGCTTCCTAGAGACAATGATATTTTCCAGTACATTGCCATCTCTGCCTGTGTGTATTCCCTCTTAGCAGTTCTGTTGGGACATGATCTAACATGCACTTCTTTCTTTGGGTTGCTGTATTGTCAGATGTAGGATAACTGTGACTTCAGATCTGGAAGAACTTCAAAGCAGACAGGCAAAAAAAGACCTACAAAACAGACAAAGAATCACAGATTATTTTGAAGAGGTAGCCATGGATTCCTGCCAGTATTATGTGTATGGTACTTGGCAACTGTTGTCATCATTGCTATACCATTCATACATTTTGAGAGCAGCAGCCTAAACATAAGTGTGCATAAATGCCTATCTAAGCAACACACCATGTCACCATAGGCCATTGTTTTGTGCTTGTGATGTAAATTTTTAATACTGGAAGTGTTTCTAGTTTCAAGTGACCAAAAACTGACTTGTCAGAGCTGTACTTAGGATAAGATTAGGGTCTCTTTTACCAGCTACAACTTCATCTCTTTTTCCATGCTGGACAAGTCATTTAAGATCTAAGCCTTAGACCTGGATATTCCAGAAAAGTTACAGTATCCCTTAAAGCATTTGGATGAGTTTTTCAGAAACCTGGTGACTGTTCATTTTGTAAACAAACAAAAGTGCTGAGATTGTCCAGTCAGTTTTGTTCTGGCAGCTAATTTAACTGACTGTTGTGGAAGCTTTAGAAATGCCTCTGTAGAAGTTATCTTACCAGGAGTAATACAGACAAAGGAGTTCAAGTAGTGTTTGAATGGCACAAACAAACCAGAATGATCCTTTTACTCTTTTTGGTACTGAGTTTGATGCCTAAGCAACAGAACCATTTGACCTTTGCTATTGAGAACATCACTAATTTGTCTTTGCAAATTGCGACTATGAAGCAAGACTCTTCCAATAAATGATTTTTACTTATTCCCCACTCTAGAAGGAGCTTTTGCTGAGATAAAATAAGACACATAGTGCACCTTTTGTCTAGAATGTTATACTGGTCATAGGCCAGTCATTGTTACCTGTGCAATGAAACTCTTTCAATCTATAAACATTTTGCTTCTGTGAGTTGTAGGATGTTTTTATAATAATTATTTTGTAGAAGCTTTTTGATGTTGTGGAACTGTGGGACAATAGCTGGAATTATCTAAGCAAGATTATAAAGTTTTACTGCTTTCAGTTTTTATTTGGCTTGTGCTTTCTTATTTTCTTCCCTACCACTCACCAGCCTTGCCAGTGAGTATGTGCTCAAATAACAAGAGAAAGGCAGGATGTGCACTCTTTTTTTGCTCAAAGCAAATCTTATCAAGAGAAGTCACTCCTTCATATATTTTAAATTTCTAGGCTGGGAAGTTCCACCTGGGTCTCTAAACAGCTATTATTATCAAATACAAATAAAGGGCTAGCATTTTTGGGATTCCATTTTTGCTTCTCTGTCCTCTCTCCAGTCATTGAGATGTCACAGTGAAGTGTAAAATCAAAAGTGATTTTGTTGAAGTAGAAATGCTTTGGTCCACAAAACAAAATGTTCCTAAGACAGCCAAAATCAAGCCAGCTTTCAGGCAGTACGAAGAATAGGCAGTGGCATTACAAAAGGCTAAAATAGGAAGAGCATGGTGTTAACATCCCGGAGTTTCCTAATTTCCATTGTCCCAGAGCATGGAAATTTGTACAACCACGCTGCAAATTGCATGTTAGAGGTGGGCAACATCTGAAGTTGAGACTAACTGCAGATACAGAAGATAATAGGGAAAATTGCCAATGTATGAGTCCGAATATGGAACATCCAAGTAAACACATTAACAGAATCATTTTCCTGCCTGTCTTCTGGCAAGCAGCTGTTACTGGGGACTGTCTGGAGAGCCTGCAAGCCTATCATGTGGAATGCATTGCTTCTGCTGCAGCATCTCAAGTAAGCCAGTTCTTGAGTCACTTTGTGGAGTAATTCCAGTTAATTTTAGCTTTCCCTACCATGTTTTCTTTTTTCTTCCTGAGAATAATGTGCTCTTACTCTTCCCTAAAAATATGATGTTCTCAACAACACTATTCCTTCTCCACCCAGGCAAGAATAAGGCACTTGTACTTGGTATAGCTTAGTAACTAAATGAGTTACTAAGCTATACCAAGTGGTTCTTAGCAATCACATTATTGTAACTCTTCACTCTGCTAGGATACCTAGTTCCTTTTATTAAAAAAATCAATCCCAAAAAAACCAATCTATTTTTGCAGTTGTTTATCTTTTATTAGCCAAATCAAGCATTTTGACTACTTTATTAGATCTATAAATATTTGAATACACTGACATAAAATTATTCTCTATTTTATTTCTAATTCTTTCTATATTCTATAAAAATATAATAACCTGAAGATTTTGGTCACTGTTTTGTAATTTCAGTAAAGGAGAAATATATACCATAGTTGTAGAAATGCCAAGTCTAGCAATCAGAGAACTTCAAGTGATCCTCTCTGCATTGTTGATACAATTCAGTTGTTACTGGTGAGGCATTGCTACAGACATATCACATCAAGTCCACAAAAAATAAGCTCTTTAAAGGTTTTGCAGTGTAGTAATACTTGTCAGTTAGAAAAGAACTCAGTTGCTGTTCTATATATTCTTCTGTGGTTCAGTCTTAGAAAACCAGTTTTACTACTTACCCCTTTTTGCACTTACCATCGAGGATTTGTTCATTCTGGCAACAGCAGAAAGTTTGATTCAAACAATCCAACGTGAACTCACTAGTCCATGACCTTTTTAAGTACTAGACCAACATTTTGCTTTTTGTAGGCAGAGTGCTCAGAGACCCTGCTTTAAGCAGCAAACAGCAGTTCCTCACAACTGTTCTTTCAGAAAGCACTCAGCTTACATGCCACCCTACACAGGTGTCCTTTCTAGCACATATTCCTTTAAACAATCTTTATTATAACTGGGAACCAAATTAATTTATTAGCTGTTCCATCTTGTGGGATAGCTGTTACAGTTCCATATGGAAAAAAATTCTTGCTGTTGAGTTTTTGGCAATTTTCAGTTACTGTTAAGTAATATGAAAAGCCTTTTTCTCAATAAGAAGATGGAAAAAAAAAGACAAAATGAGAATAAAATGAGCAAGAAACTGTACTGTTAAAGTAATTGGACATAAGAAAGAAACATTTTTCCACACTGAAAATGCAGAAAGTTTGGGTGAAGTTACTTAATTGTGAACGTTGGCAAAATTGGCTAAGATCCCTTCAACTCTATGTGTGAAATACACATTTGAGAGTCTTTCCTCACATAAAGAGTTCACTTGTATATTTACATCTCTCTACGTATGTATATATAATCTTTTTCCCTTGGGCATCTAGTGCTAGTGAAAATAATGGAAGCATAGGCCATAAGCCTT